GTGGGAACTAACTCTGTGCATTCCAATCCTTACAATTTGAAAAGAACCTTCAGATTACACTAGGGTAGTCTGAATAACCGCTAAAACGAAATGTGTAAAGCTCCACTGTAGAATTGTACTCTTGAATAGAAAGTGCAAACCTCAATTGAGCCGTCGCACGCAATCCGCTGGGTTCTTTGTATCTCTTTATAATGCAATCATTGTCAATGTCTCCCCTTGTCGGGTCCCCTGGGAAAAAAGCGCCACGAATATTTTAACCCATTGATTCAGATTCCATGCTTAAATCTTGGCTCTTCTTTCCGACTAACTTCTACCTCGGTAATACAAATATAATACCATTGCTGGGGGGGGGGGGGGCTGAGGGAAAAAAACTCCTTTTCACCCCAAAAGGTATTGGTTCGAGGTTGCTTAGTTCGCGGTCACTATTTTTTTTTGGTGTATTACATTACATTTCAATTTGCCCTCTCCATGCCATTCAATAAAACGTCAGCCAAACATTTTCCAGATAGCAACTCTTGGTTTGTTTTCTGTTGGTATAAACTTTCATGAAATGAATGCGGCCTGACGTTGCGAACCTAGACCACGTAGACCTCTCTGCAGGGGATATGCCGGGTTTCTCTGTTGCTCGTTTCAGATCTTGCCACACAGCATGTACATCCCCCCATTGTCCAGTGAGATTGCGTTAAGAAGTTAAGGCAAAAAACTGGGTTGTTTGATTTTAACCATTTAATTTATATCATGGATTCAAATCAGTTGGAAACAAAAATAAAAAAATAAAAAGTTATATAAAAGTAAAAGTAAAAAAAAAAGAACAAAAAAAAAACACCCCCAAAAAACATGCTACGCACGTTGATAACAGCTTACAAAGAATGTTAATCCAATTTCAATACACCAATTTAACCTTTTGGATCATTCCATCCAATAGGCCCTCCTGGCAGATGATATGTTCTGGTTGGCTACACTGTTATCAACTTCCCAATGAGTGTTGTATGCAAATTGTTGATTCATGCGTGGATGCAAGGCATGTTAATATTCTTAAAAAGAGGCATTGAAGAAGTAGTGTCCACACAGTACACCATTATTACAATGTTGTAACATGTCCATGTAAAATCACCAAACTTCGTTGTTTGCTATTTCATACAATGGCTTATCACCGACAGCCTTAGTTTCAATTCCAATTTGAAACTCGTCTTTGGGGCTTGCCTTGGCCCGGGCCTTGAAAGTCAAGGCCTTGGCATTGGCCTTGGATGATAGGGCTTTTGCTCCCACACTTATTGGTTCAAGTGTTGTTCATTACCTGTAATAATATATAATACTCATCTGATATATCGCCGAATCCGTCAAACCGACGCTCAACGCTTCTTACAATAAATTAAAATTCACTGAACATCTTCAAAAATTTTAATAAATAAAACAAAAAACTACATTGTCATTTATTGTCTAAACAATATTATCTATCTAAATAATATCAATTTAAATAATAACTATCTAATTTCATCCTCTGTGTGAACAAAAAATATCAACATCATCAGCCACCTCATAAATTAAGAAAAAAATACAGAGATACAGTTTATTCAATGTATCTGTTCCCCCGTCAGGGAATGTCGTGTGTGCATGCGCACCTGTCCCGCAATAACACCTGTTGACTTGCCAGTTATAATTGAATAGGTTCACTTTCAATTCTCCTTTATTTGTCATGGTATTTTCCCCTGTCCTGGGGAATATATTCCGTGGGAACTACATCAGTGCATTCCAATCCTTACAATTTGAGGATTGAAGAAAAACCTTGCAAATAACACAAGGGTAGTCTCAATAACCGCTAAACAGAAATATGTAAAACTCCACTGTAGAAATTTACTCTTGAATAGAAAAGTACAAACCTCAATGGAGCCGTCCCACGCAATCGGTTGGGTTCTTTGTATCTCTTGTTAATGCAATCATTGTCAGTTCTTCCCCTTTTCTGGTCCCCGGGGAGAAATAGGTGCGACAAATATTTTAACCCATTTATTTAGATTCCATGCTTAAATCATGGCTCTCCTTTCCAATTCACAATTCATCGGTCGCTATTGTTCAAGTTACTAACTTCTACCCTGGCAATAAAATTAGAATACAATCGCAGCAGGGGCTGTGGGAAAACCCCTCTTATCCCCAGCTGAATGGTTCTCTGTGATAAAGTTGATCGCTTGAAGATAGCAAGCCATGCTATGGAAATCCGATTTATCATTTTATTTTTATTACGATTTTTAACAACCCTGAAAAAAACCTGCATACCTGTGTAACCCCCCCCCCCCCCCACACACACACACACACACACACACACCACACACACTCAAATTTGTATCCTTGTGGAGACATTTCTTTGTTCTCGAGTATTTAAGTTTTCGAGTTTGAAGGTGAAGTTTCAAAATGCTCTTATACGAAAGCCCGTTAGTGCCAACATTTGTTTTGGATTTTTTTTTTTTTTTTTTAATTTCTTTTTTTTTTATGAATTTTTTAATTTATTTTTTTTTGAATTTTTTTTTGAATTTTTTTTTTTTTTTAAGTTTATTTTTTGGAAAGGTTTGTTTTTGACACGTTTACCAAAACGAAGGTTTGCTACGCGGGCATTGCCGTACTTTATGTCCATAATGTACAAGAACGATTTCAACCAATAGCGAATTCCCTGTTCTAGTCCATGGTTTCATAAAGGCCGCGCCGTGCAGTTTATTTTAGTAACTTTTAGAAATGTTTTTTTTTTTGAAATTTTTTTCTTTGGAATTTTTTTTGGGGGGGGGGGATTTTTTTTTTTTTTTATGTTTTTTTCTTTTGGAAAGTTTTTTTTGGGAGGTTCCAAATTCATCAGGAATTGTCAGAATCTTTTGGTTTGGGAACCAGACTACTCAGGGGAAGGGCGACGCTGACGGCAGGTAGGTACAAATAAAATCAAAACAAAAATTCAAAACAAAAAATTCAAAACAAAAAAATCAAAACAAAAAATTCAAAACAAAAAATTCAAAACAAAACAAAAATTCAAAACAAAACAACCGTAAAAAAACAAAAACCCATTTCCAAAAGTTACTCAAAATAGAAACCATTGACCAAGAAACGGCACTTCGCTATGGCCTGAAATCGTTCTTGCACATTAGGGACATGAAGTACGGTAATGCCCGTGTACCAAAATGGATCTGCTTAGATCATCAACCCGATCGAAGGGAGCCACTTGGGAGGGATGGGGGTGAATAGTGAGTCAAAGAGGTCTCATCTCCACACCACACCATGTTCCTTCGGTATTCCTACAAAGGCACCACATACGAGTTCCAAGCCCTGCGTATGGTTTGTCCATGACCCCTCGGGTCTGCAGCAGAATTGTGAAGCAGTGAACAGTGCCCTCCATCGTCAAGGTCTACAGGTGTTCATGTGCCTCGACGACTGGCTCATCATCGGCAAATCGCGGGCATCAGCTGCTCACGCTGTCCGTTCCTTTGCCGAATGCCATAGTTTCCTCATCATGAGTCCAAATCCAGAGCCAATCCTATTTCAACGGCCCACAAAGCGGTCCATCTTCCGGGCAGTGACAACACCTCAGCCGTCTCGCTCTTCCGGGGCTGGATTCAACCCACAGAACCGAAGCCCTGTCATTTGCGTGGACTGCACCCGATTTCAGCAAACGTTTGTGTAACTTACGATGCATCGCAGCGATGCGACGCGTCGTATCTCTACGATGCGATTCATCCTTTGATCCATTTCACAAAACACGTCGTTTTGTGCAACGCGTCGTATGGCATAAACTGGCTTAGAAAAGAACTCTTCTTATTTTTTCGTTGACCACTAGACACGTCGTAACTTGGGACGTTTTTAAGCCATTATCAAGGAACTTACGATGCGTTCAACACATCGCAACTTTCGTGGAATGGATGATACGACGCGTCGCGCGTTACGACGTGTTACACGTCGTAACTCGAGTTGCTGCGCGTCGCAGCGCTTCGTGAAATCGGGTGCTGATCTGTTTGCCTACGCCTTTCCCCCGATCTCCCTACTTTTTAAAGTAATCGAGAAGATCGAGCGGGACCCATGCAGGGTCCTTCTTATTGCCCCATTTTGGCCACGAAAAAACCGTGGTTTCCACGGCTTGTCCGCCTTCTCTATCATCTCCTGCTCCTCATCCAGTGGTCGGATATTCTTTGTCAACCTTAGTCGGGCCTGCTTCACCCCGATCTGGACTTTCTTAGAGCCCGTTCGGTCAACCGAACAGTTTACGATAGCCGATTACGGCATTTCTATAAATGGTACAGGCAGTATGAAGTGAATCCCTTCGCTACAACTCTAATCGAAGTTGGTAATGTTCTTGTCCACCTCTTCCAGCCGAGTCGAGAGGGATTTTGCTTTATTCTGGCAGGGAAAGGGGCCAGAGGAGATTCGAAAGTATGGTGTCGGCTTCGCCATCCGAAACACACTAATTAGTTCCTCGTTAGTGCCTGCGCTCCTATCCTCTACTCCTTGCAAGAAGCCAAGGATGGCTTCGAGGGGATCCCAAGTTGGTTATAATACCACCGTCACACCGGAGGCGCGGTGCCACTTCGGTTTTTGGTCAAAACCGCCATCACCGTAGTGACACCGGCAGTAGTTTTTCATAGTTTTCCCCTACCCGTCGATACCCCCGTCACACCGGAGGTGCGGTGCCACTGCAGTGCTTGTACGGCATAAACTGCAGTGGCACCGCCATGATCGCCGTGGTTCCGTAGTGGTTCCGTCATTGATCGCCGTAGCACTGCGGAAAACTGTCCAAACCGCGGACCTTCGCGATTGCACGGCGGTTGTACTGCGGAGGCACGGCGGTGATAGAGGTCCTACTGCGGTCCTTGTACGGTGCCAGGGCGGTCATGGCGGTGCCGCGGCGATCCCACTGCGGATTGGCTCAACCCGCGGTGGCTCTGCGGAAGTTTTGAACATGTTGAAAGTTTACGCCGTGCAACCGCGAAGGTCCGCGGTTTTGACAGTTTTCCGCGGTGCTACGGCGATCAATGACGGAACCACTGCGGAACCACGGCGATGCCACTGCGATTTATGCCGTACAAGCACCGCAGTGGCACCGCACCTCTGGTGTGACGGGGATATTACTTACAATTGCTGCTGCCTGGCGACTTCAATGCCAGAGTGGGTGCCGATTGTGACTCCTGGCCCACCTGCTGGGGAAGACACGGCATTGGGATTATAAACGAGAATAGGCAACGTCTACTGGAGCTGTGTACATTGAAAAACCTTTGCATCACCAACTCATTCTTTCTGACCAAGCCACAATACAAGGTTTCCTGGAGACATCCCATATTTTAACACTGGCACCGTACCAACTGGACCTAATCTTTACCAGGCGAGACCGTCATGGTTTATAGCAGACTCCAACTAACAGTTTGGTGTCACTGACAACAGTGTCTACCCTTAGTGCTTCATCGTACATCTCATTTAAGTCATTTCTCTCCGTTGCGTTAATGAAATCTCTAATGTACAGTAGGATGCCACCTCCTTTAGTTTTTTTTGTCTTGGCTTGTCTATCTCGACGAATCATTGTAAAACCATTCAGGTTAAGTTCAGCATCGCAATGATTTGGTTGAGTCCAACCTTCTGTGTCTCCAACAGTGTGGGCTTGTACATTGAAAACTGTGAATTCAAATTCTAAGAATTTATCTCTCGCCATAATACTTTTTAAACTGTGCAGTGTCGAGTGATCATGTGCGGTTAAATACATGTGTGAACATTCTTCTTGTTCATTTACTGACTCACTTCTTCCTCTGCTTCTTCCATGTCCTTTTTTTTTTGTCTTCTTTTCCAGTTCAAGAGTTGTTCTTGTCACCACCATTCTCTGTCGTAATACTACATTCTCGCCCCTTTCTCTCCTTGCCTTATAGTTGTTGTCTCAGTTTCCAGTCCTCTCTTTGCATCTTTGTCAGAAGTGTTCTTGAACTTGCTTATCTTTTTGGACTTCTTCAAGAGATTAACCCTTCTTGATCTGCTATTTGTTTTAACTTCCACAATACGTTCGTGGATTTGGTTGTACCTATGCGCTCCACTGACAGGATTGACTTATCAGATTCACCTAGTTTCTCAAAGAGCTCAGTAACTAGCCTCACATCATCCACCGACTCTCGCAAGCTTTTCACATTGACAGTTATGGATTGTTCTACTCTTTGTGTTGCCGCTCTTGTTGCAATGTAAACCATTTCATCACGGTTAGTGCTATATAATTTTCGTTTACTTCTATCTCCAGTTCTGTGACACGAGATTTGAAGTCAGCCACGTCCCTTTCCAGTTTGGTGTTAGAGTCTTCACTGCTAGTAGATCCTCCATGAAATGCCTAACATCCATGTTACATATTATGCAGTACCAGTTGAGCCTTGCTGATTTTTTGCTCATAATGTTGTATTCACCTTTCGTGACTCCTTGGAATTTGATATAAAACCACTGCTTACAAATTTCGCATTCCATCGCATCAGTCTCCGAGTCAATCATATCACCACATTTACCACAGGAAGCTGGTGCTTCTGAATCGTCTGTTTTGACATCTGAATTATTAGAGCCGTGTCTTTGAAGTTTAGTGCCATATCCGCGAGGAGCTAGATCTCTATTTGTTGCCATCTTATTATGTACTGAAGGCGCTGGATATTATGGTCTCTAATAAAGACAGGTTAATGAAGTTTATGAGAAATATGAGACCCATTTTATAGCACCTTGTAAGGGTGAACAAGGTGCTGCGGCGCATATCGCAGCCACCGTGCCAGAAACACCGGGGCAAACCCCTTCTCTTAGCGATAAGTGTTACTGGGTTCTTTAACGTGCATTACACAACATACGGGACCTACGGCTTTACGTCCCAACCGAAGAACGAAGCAATAATGGTAAAGTGCCTTGCTCAAGCCCAAGCACCATGTTCCCACGGTCAGGATTCGAACCCATATACCACGGCATACACACGAGTCGAACACCGTAACCATTGGGTCACAGCACCCTCTTTATCGTTATATTCGTCTATACTCTTCTTGATCAATCCATTTAAGGATACCAAATGTTGTTTTGGAATTCCAATATTTTAGAATTATGACTACCCACATAGTACGGTTGGTGTTTATTATTTTCATTGTTATTCTAGATTATGTGACCCTCATCATCAGACGTCTGACTTCAATCACAAAGATGCAGGAAGACAGCCCTGGTCGGCGGGGTAGAGCTAGGATCACGGCCGAGGAGTACAACCACTCACTCAGCAAACTCGTCGGCACGAAGAGGAAGGTTAAGCCAAGTCGTAAGGCGGCATTCATGGCCGCCTTTCCAGTCAAAGCCTCTTCAAGACTCTATTCTGATGAAGAAGGAGCATCCGTCCTGCCAGTGAAAGCAGCTTCAGTAACTCAGCCTGAGCACAGCAAAACTGCGACAACAGACGATACAATCAGTCAAGCTGAAGTTAAAAGGTATAGCAGGGAAATTGCTATACCTTTCGGTATTATACTGGGGTGGTAGTTTTTTTTTTTCTCATTCCTTGTCACACCAAGAATAGTAGATTTCAGCTAGATAGATCAAAAACCACCTACATCTTCATTTTCCTGCATCTTCATATATAATCTCATCTGTATGTAAAACCAACTGCAAAGTTCCATGCACAAGGTACGATATTTTAAATGTTTTATACCCTTACTATTTTCTCGGAATTCTTTTCAATTGATGTAATCTCCCATATCATACAAAAATAAAGGATTCTTGTATTTGGAGCCTTTTGAGGTGAATATCTGACAACGTTTCCTTTTGCACAACAGGTGGACGGAAACCTGTATTAGCAACCCAACAAAAGTTTCCTGAATAGAAAACCATGATTGGCAGAGTTTTGTTGTTTCATCTCATGCAGAATATTGTATTGTATTTTCAACTTGCAGTCCCGTTGATGTGAGACAGAAATTGCAGGTTTTTGTCCGAGGTCTCCTCTTACCAAAGACACTTTGCCTGCAATTAGATCCGGAGACATCCGTATCTGATTTAAAGGCATTGGTTGAAAATAAGAGTGGCATCCCGCCTCAAGATCAACACCTTTACATCGGGAGAAACTTTCAGGTGCTGCTTCTATTGAACTTTGAAAAGAAAAATCAATCAGTGTCTCTTTTTAAAATTCCTTTCACTGAGCATATAACTGTATAATTATTCCCCGTTCCTTGCAATTTGTCCTCGCCTAACCACGCGGCAGATGATATCAGCGCGCATTCAGTCCTCTACCCTCACACGTATCCATTCCTGGGTGGAGAGAGGCAATTGTAGGTGTCTTGCCCAAGGACACAAACACCATGTTCCTGACAGGGTTCACACCACACACCATCGCACATGAGTCAAACACCGTAACCACTGGATCATAGCATTCTTCAAATAGCCTTGTGACATTTTCTGCTTAACTAGCTGCTATTATAAACTCTTTGGTCATTCACTCGTGATCAAGTATCAGGACAGCAAGAATCAAGGTTTAATCTGAAAAATACAACAAACAAATATTCTCCTTTTACACAAAATACATTAAACAGAATAAATTACATGACAAAGAATACATTAACATATCCACTGATCCAACATGAAACATGAATTTTCTGTGCCGATACGGTATAACATTACAATTTCAATGACATGAATGATTACAATCTGAAACGTAAACACTTTCAATATGCCTACACGCACGTACAATTTACATGTTGCTAAACCGCTACAATCCACACAATAAAGTTACACAAAAAATACATCATGAAATCAAACTTACGACTCTGCCGAGCTTTAAACAAGTTCTACAAACAGCTACAGAATTGTATTTAAGTGCCGAAGTCCTCAAAACTTGCAATCCTGCAATTATCGACAAATTTTACATCCTGAGTACTTTCCAAAATAAGCGCGCCTGCCCCCATACATATGCAGTCATGACAATACACAAAACATTCTAAAAATTTGCTACATGTACATGTACATGCACGGCCCGCAACGCGTAAAGAACCACGTTATTGACCTTTGACCCTAAGGCGCGCGAAACAATGTATACAGTTCCTAAGCAAAAACTTTGGCATACGTTACAAGCCTTCCTTTCGTTGTAAAACAGTTGGTGGAAGGCGTGTTGCCAATGTTATTGATTTTTATAGGGTGTTTTTTTTTTCGCTTAAAGCTTTGAACTACGTAACTGTAGCAGGAGTTTGTAAAAACAAAAGTGAATAAATAGACACAAAATGTATGTCACACTGCTTACCAATTGGACTGACATGATGCTACCATATCTTTACTTTACAAGAGAACCTGACGGTCTAATACAATTTCTTGCAAGAAGTTTAACAATCACCCATTATAGAAATCTCACGAAATTTAATTAACCTTGTTTCGCAGCTTTGTGACCTACTCTCCATTTGCGACCATGGGATACAACAAGACCAGAACATCGAGCTTCGCATAAGCGGCTTGCTGGGCGGTGGATTAGGTAACTATTCGCACAAGAGGCTGTCAAAAAAAAATTAGTCAAATTGGGTGTTTAACTTTCAAATCGGAGGAGTGAATTTCTCCTCAATTTCTGCATCATCCGTTTGAAAATTTCACTATACAATATTTTAATCTGTAGAAAAGACGACCTCAGAAATTTCAGAGTGGGTTTTAATTTTTCGTAAAATATATGCATCTGTAGGAAAGTACCCAGTTTCATTAATCAGTCAATACGCTGGACGTCTGAACATGGTTAACCTCACCTTTGAGTGAAGAGTATTTCACTTTCATTTTAAGCCCCTAAAGCCGCCCTGCAATGGTTGACGATTTGATATGATTTTGCATTCCAGAAGAAGAGCAGTCGAGAAACGTTTACTTCTCAAACTTGTCACGCGAGCTTGGACCACAATGGGAGGACCTTGCCATCCATTTGGGATTCTTGGTCAGTGAGGTTGACACATTCAGAGCAAACTACCCAGGAAACGTAAAACAGCAGAGCTTCAGGATGTTAGATGCCTGGTGGAAGGACAACCCCGAAGACGCCCCTGAGAAGCTGAGAGAGGCCCTGAAAGCAATAAGACGTGTAGACTTATCACTGCAAGTACAAGGTACGAGAGCTAACGGAAAATGATGATGTACTGTTTCTTTTATAGTAGTTGAACGGAGAAATTGACTGGTAACGGCTCGATTGTCCGAAGGTTTGTTAGCCCGAAGAGTTGATAGTCCAAACAAACGATAAAGTTCATCTGTCCGAACATTAGGCCGAAAAAAAATAGTTCTGCTTCCGATTACATGCCTCTCAAAAATAGGGTCGGTCGGTCAGAAATTGTGGGCTTTTTTGCCAATTTTTTTTTATGCAGATTGAACGGGGTATTTAATTATATGCGAAGTTTTCGCTTGAGCTATTTACCATTGAAAAAAGCTTTGCACAAAATGGCCACAAAAAGTGAATAAAACCTACCTTTATTATTGTTAATATATTTACGTTCGATAATTTGTAAAAAATTAATGGAAAATTCAGGTCGTTCGCACCATATGCACAAAACTAGTCAAGACAGAAAATACATACACAGGCAAGCTAGATCAATTTTGTGCAAAAAATGTTCTTTTTCCATTGATGTTTTCTTGGCATTTTTACGATGTCGAATCCGACCAGTTGACACTGACGGTGCACGTGCCCAATGCCATAAATGCATAGCAATGCTAGCGCTATCGATCGCATAGCCATGCACAGACTAGTTGCCGCATTGTTCTAAATTGGCCCCAGCGCGGCGCGGCGGGAACCAGTCGACGCCTCATTGAGCCAGGTCTACGCACTTGATTATAGTCACCGTGACATTATTTTGCGAAGTAGTTATATTGCGAAGCGAATTGGTAAAAATAACGGAGGTTTCTTTTTAAAAAATAGTGAATGTAAGTAAGAAAACAAATAAATACAAGCATTTTTTACGCAAAAGGGTTGTTGAGAGGTATTTTGTGAAGACAGAAAAGACAACAGGTTTCATTTTTATTTATTCAATCTTTTTTTGTTTGGGGGGGGGGGGAGGGAATTGCCGATAAAATTTGTAGAGTCGCAGCCCCAAAATAGGGTCGGTCGGGTAACCGGAAGCAGAAGTATAATTTTTTATGGCGTCATTGTAAATTCGGACTATTAAACCCAGTGTGCTTTCGGAATAATGATCCTCCGGACAATTGAGCCATGTTTTCGTTTCAGACTTTTGAGGTTTCGGACTAATTAACCTTATTCTAAATGCAGACTATCAAACCTTCGGACTAATGAACCTTCGGATTATCGAACCTTTGGACCATCACATCAAATACGTATTACAAACCTTATTTTATTTTTCGGACAAATAAACCCCGATGGGACATTTGTGTGTTCGGACTATCGAACCTTCGGTTCAATAAATCTTCGGATTTTCGGGTGGAACCCGAACCTAGGATATTGGTCAGTGTTCTATCAACTGATATACATGCATAGCTTTTGTTCATAAAGTTGCAATTGCTGGCAGAAAAAAAATAGCAGAAATAAAGGAATCAAATGTGCTTCTTAAGATTTTAACAAGTACGGACGCGCATAGTAAGCCCGAGCCGAAAAGCGGTTTAAAACTATCCACGTGACGGGCTTTCGACCAATAAAACTGTCTCATGTATTTAGAAATGCATATTCAAAACACCCACGAAATTGAATCAAAGTATAGAAAGCATGCCGTATCTTTTTTTCCAAGCTTTACCTTTCGTATGGGCCGATGTGCCTACAAGGAAATTCATAGGGTTGATTTCGTGCGTTGATGAATTAGTTTGCAGGGAAAAAATGTGCTAAAGAATCCGCCCCCGGTTAAGAGATGGTCACAATAACCCGGCCCTTTGAAGAATAAGCAATTATCACATTGTGACTTTCCTACGGTTGCGAGCACAAGAGGTTTGAATTTTTGTAGCTTGACTGATAATAACACTTTTCACTTTGAGGATAGTATGCCTTTTGCTATGCTTACTGTTTATGGTCTGTGCAAATGGTAAAGGCTGTCGGTAGTATGTGCATAGCAGCGCCATGAAATTTGGTATATATTTTATAAACTTAAAGATCAACGTGTATATGCGTGCAGATAGTCCACTTGATTGTTTCCCCAAATGACTTTTTTTCTGCACAGCCACTGCAGGTGCCTCTTTTGACGTTGAGCAGTGTGCAAGAGATCTGGCAGCACATTACCGGGAGACGATGAAAGTGACGACACATCCTAAAGAGAAGCACATAGCTAGAGAGATGGATGACCTGTACGTCAATCCACAGCTACTAGAAGAGACGAACATACCATCTCCTGTCTCCTCATCAGAGACAGAGATGCAGGCAGAAACAGTCAGCCAATCGGAGAATTTGAAAGCATCCAAAAGAACTAGAGGTATCCCTGATCTTCCAAAATCACAACCTGATAAGAAAAAAGGGCTTCATGTTCAGAACATTTCCCTTGACTCATATAAAGACATGCTTGTGCTCAAATCAAATCGATTATTAATCAGAGCTGAGGCGGGTTACGGGAAAACCACACTCCTTAAAAGGATTGCATACGATTGGGCGGATATGAAAACCAAGGGGAATCAAACTGAAAACCAACAACAAACTGAGCCCACATCAGTTCTGGAAAGCTACGAGCTTGTCTTTGTGATAGATGTCAATCGAATGGGTAAGAAATTCGACATCATCGACGCCATATTCTCTCAGAAACTCACATACAGCAAACTGAAAAAGAGAGACTTACAACAATACATCCATGATAACCCAGAGCGCATATTAATTCTTTTAGATGGCACTGATGAGATTTCTTTACAAAGAGTAAAGGACGCACAGTGCAATAACGGATTTGACTTGAACGGTGTACTATCGTTCAAATCACTGAAGTCGTGCAAGGTAATAGTAACGAGCCGACAGAAGACGGCAAATGAACTGCTGACTATGCATGCACACTACACAAAAATTAACATAGTTGGCTTTGACGAGAAAGACAGGCAACAGTACGTGAGGAAATACTTGGCAAATTTTCAATCGGATAATCAAAACAGCTTCCTTGAAAAGGTGAATGGATCTGAAACGCTTCGTAGTTTAGCGGAGATACCGTTATTTCTGTGGCTGATGTGCCACACATGGGCAGCTGAAGGGAAACTTCCTGATCAAATAACAAACCTTTTTGGGGATAACATTCAGCTGCTTTTCCAGCACAAGGAAAGTAAGGAAACAGACGAGCAAGTTTCTGACACTGAGACACATGTTTCCAAACTTGGTCGGATAGCTCTTGAAGGTTTGTTAGATCCAAATGGGGAAAAACTTCATTTTGAGGAAGATGAGATAGATTCAAAGGATCTAGATATGTTTGAGAAGGGATGTGATGTTGGCTTGTTGTCAAAAAGAAAAATGTGTCAAGGTCTCAAGACGGTTTCTCACTTTTCGTTCATTCACAAGACTTTCCAAGAATATAGCGCAGCGGTTTATCTTGGAGATTTGTCAAGAACTGACAGGCAAGCGTTTGACCAATACTTGTCTCGTATATTTCATGGCAATGTGGAAAGCGTGGAATACGTTCTGCGATTCTGCTGTGGGCTGAACGGAAATGTCGCCGAGGTGATTTTGCAGCGCATTGGAGATCTCTTGAAGCAAAATGAACTGAACATTTCCCTGCATAGAATCTCGATATTGCTCCTATTTGAAGCTCAATCAGAGTCCCTTGTGAAATACTTTGTTGAGACTGCGAAGGTTGAGTTTCCCTATAAACTCCAAGGTGAAGTTCTTGTGGCTGCGCATTATTTCTTTCAAGTCGGGTCCAAACATTCAATTCTACACAAAGTAGGCATACAAGAAATTGGTGCTAAATGTCGAGGTTTTGCTGACTTTAGACTGTTAGAGGATATCATGACAAACATACAATGTAAGCCATTGCTTAAACTTGTACTTCATGGAATCAGCTGGGGTAGCTTTGTGGATAACTCCACGGGGATATTGACATATCTGAAGTCTTTAGAAGTACATAACTGTGATTGGAACCTTGTAAAACTTTTTGAAGTGTTATCAAAAACCAACACGCAAAACGTTGAATTCAATGGCATCAATTTGCATGAGACACTGTCAAAACAAAACATTAAACCAGTTCCATCTCTGAAAGAATGCTGTCTTTTCGATTGTGGACTGACAAACAGTGATACTGAGCAACTTTTCTCTCTAGTTTCCTCAGCAGGAAGCATAAAGAGAGTTGCTCTGCAAGGAAACAATTTTCACGGTTTGCAGCCTGTCACGATCGCTAGTGTCCCATCCCTTGAACAATTGGACCTATATGAAAGTGGTCTGACAAACAGTGATATTGAGCCACTTTTCTCTCTAGTTTCCTCAGCAGGCAGCATAAAGAGTGTTGTTCTGCAAGGAAACAATTTTCACGGTTTGCAGCCTGTCACGATCGCTAGTGTCCCTTCCCTTGAAGAATTGCACCTATATGAAAGTGGTCTGACAAACAGTGATATTGAGCCACTATTCTCTCTAGTTTCCTCAGCAGGCTGCATAAAGACGATTGGTCTGAAAGGAAACAATGTCCACGGTTTGCAGCCTGTCACGATCGCTAGTGTCCCATCCCTTAAAGAATTGGGCCTATATGAAAGTGGTCTGACAAACAGTGATATTGAGCCACTTTTCTCTCTAGTTTCCTCAGCAGGAAGCATAAAGAGAGTTGTTCTGCAAGGAAACAATGTCCACGGTTTGCATCCTGTAACGATCGCTAGTGTCCCATCCCTTGAAGAATTGCACCTATATGAAAGTTGTCTGACAAACAGTGATATTGAGCCACTTTTCTCTCTAGTTTCCTCAGCTGGAAGCATAAAAAGAGTTCTTCTGAGGGGAAACAATTTCCACGGTTTGCAGCCTGTCACGGTCGCAAGTGTCCCATCCCTTGAACATTTGGACCTATATGAAAGTGGTCTGACAAACAGTGATATTGAGCCACTTTTCTCTCTAGTTTCCTCAGCAGGCAGCATAAAGAGAGTTGTTCTGCGAGGCAACAATGTCCACGGTTTGCAGCCTGTCACGATCGCTAGTGTCCCATCCCTTGAAGAATTGGACCTATGTGAAAGTGGTCTGACAAACAGTGATATTGAGCCACTTTTCTCTCTAGTTTCCTCAGCAGGCAGCATAAAGAGTGTTATTCTGCAAGGAAACAATATCCACGGTTTGCAGCCTGTCCCGATCACTAGTGTCCCATCCCTTGAAAACTTGCACCTATATGAAAGTGGTCTGACAAACAGTGATATTGAGCCACTTTTCTCTATAGTTTCCTCAGCAGGCAGCATAAAGAGTGTTGTTCTGGAAGGAAACAATTTCTACGGTTTGCAGCCTGTCAAGATCGCTAGTGTCCCATCCCTTGAACATTTGGGCCTATATGAAAGTGGTCTGACAAACAGTGATATCGAGCCACTTTTCTCTCTAGTTTCCTCAGCAGGCAGCATAAAGAGTGTTGTTCTGCAAGGAAACAATTTCCACGGTTTGCAGCCTGTCACGATCGCTAGTGTCCCGTCCCTTGAACAGTTGCACCTGTATAAAAGTGGTCTGACAAACAGTGATATTGAGCCACTTTTCTCTCTTGTTTCCTCAGCAGGCAGCATAAAGACGATTGGTCTGAAAGGAAACAATTTCCACGCTTTGCAGCCTGTCACGATCGCTAGTGTCCCATCCCTTGAAGAATTGGACCTATGTGAAAGTGGTCTGGCAAACATAGATATTGAGCCACTTTTCTCTCTAGTTTCCTCAGCAGGCAGCATAAAGAGTGTTGTTCTGGAAGGAAACAATTTCTACGGTTTGCAGCCTGTCACGATCGCTAGTGTCCCATCCCTTAAAGAATTGCACCTATATGAAAGTGGTCTGACAAACAGTGATATTGAGCCACTCTTCTCTCTAGTTTCCTCAGCTGGAAGCATAAAAAGAGTTCTTCTGAGGGGAAACAATTTCCACGGTTTGCAGCCTGTCACGATCGCTAGTGTCCCATCCCTTGAAGAATTGGACCTACGTGAAAATGGTCTGACAAACAGTGATATTGAGCCACTTTTCTCTCTAGTATCCTCAGCAGGCAGCATAAAGAGAGTTGTTCTGCAAGGAAACAATTTCCACGGTTTGCAGCCTGTCACGATCGCTAGTGTCCCATCCCTTGAAGAATTGCACCTATGTGAAAGTGGTCTGACAAACAGTGATATTGAGCCACTTTTCTCTCTAGTTTCCTCAGCAGGCAGCATAACGAGTGTTGTTCTGCAAGGAAACAATTTCCACGGTTTGCAGCCTGTCACGATCGCTAGTGTCCCATTCCTTGAACAATTGGACCTATATGAAAGTGGTCTGACAAACAGTGATATTGAGCCACTTTTCTCTCTAGTTTCCTCAGCAGGCAGCATAAAGAGAGTTGTTCTGGAAGGAAACAATTTTCACGGTTTGCAGCCTGTCACGATCGCTAGTGTCCCATCCCTTGAAGAATTGGACCTACGTGAAAATGGTCTGACAAACAGTGATATTGAGCCACTTTTCTCTCTAGTATCCTCAGCAGGCAGCATAAAGAGAGTTGTTCTGCAAGGAAACAATTTCCACGGTTTGCAGCCTGTCACGATCGCTAGTGTCCCATCCCTTGAAGAATTGCACCTATGTGAAAGTGGTCTGACAAACAGTGATATTGAGCCACTTTTCTCTCTAGTTTCCTCAGCAGGCAGCATAACGAGTGTTGTTCTGCAAGGAAACAATTTCCACGGTTTGCAGCCTGTCACGATCGCTAGTGTCCCATTCCTTGAACAATTGGACCTATATGAAAGTGGTCTGACAAACAGTGATATTGAGCCACTTTTCTCTCTAGTTTCCTCAGCAGGCAGCATAAAGAGAGTTGTTCTGGAAGGAAACAATTTCTACGGTTTGCAGCCTGTCACGATCGCTAGTGTCCCATCCCTTGAACATTTGGGCCTATATGAAAGTGGTCTGACAAACAGTGATATTGAGCCACTTTTCTCTCTAGTTTCCTCAGCAGGCAGCATAAAGAGTGTTGTTCTGCAAGGCAACAATTTCCACGGTTTGCAGCCTGTCACGATCGCTAGTGTCCCATCCCTTGAACAGTTGCACCTATATGAAAGTGGTCTGACAAACAGTGATATTGAGCCACTTTTCTCTCTAGTTTCCTCAGCAGGCAGCATAAAGACGATTGGTCTGAAAGGAAACAATTTCCACGGTTTGCAGCCTGTCACGATCGCTAGTGTCCCATCCCTTGAAGAATTGGACCTATGTGAAAGTGGTCTGGCAAACAGTGATATTAAGCCACTTTTCTCTCTAGTTTCCTCAGCAGGCAGCATAAAGAAAGTTGTTCTGAACGGAAACAATTTGCATGGCTTGTCACAAGTCAACATCGATCCTCTCCCCTCCCTTCACACACTAGATTTATCTAGATGTGGTCTGCAAAACAGCGATATCAGGGCAATCATCCGTTTACTGGCCTCTCTTGGTGATGTGAAGGAAGTCCATCTAACAGACAACAACTTGCATAGTAATGTAGCCAAGGCATTGGCTCCCTTCCTTCGTTGAGGTTGTTGATCCTCCTCACTGAGGGGAATCGTTATATAAGAGACACATATGTCTCTGTAAAAAGAAGACCTTTTGGTGAATTCTTTCCAACGACTTTTAAAATCCAGAATCGCTGCTGCGGCATGTCCGGTTTACCACCTTTTTTCATATTTACAATCAGTGATCGTCTCATCTGATTTCAACTTTCAGTTGTTCAAGGCCGATTAATTAAATACTACCACTACCAGATACATTTCAACTGTGTCTTAGGACGAACGACTTATGGAAACTCTCGTGGGTGGTTTTCGTGACTGGATATTCGCAAGTACTCAGGCAGGAATAAGACAAGATTTTTTATTTATTTTTGTTCGCGATTACAAACTTGGTCCAACGTCCACAGATTACAAGCTTAATTTAACTGTTAACAAAACTACAAAAATAACTTGGCATCCATTTACATCACAATCGTTTCAATTACATCAAACTTATATACCAATTTCGTCAAACCACTGATACCGCGGGCTATTTCAGCTTTCATTTATTCGTTTATTCTACTTAAATTTCTTTCGTTTTAGATCTCTAATATTGTTTTAGGCAAATGTTTTTCTTGCAACATTTTACAGTCTTAATAATTCTATAAATTATATGAGCAATATTATTGGATTTCTTTTACTTAAACATCCAATGCACTCTATCCAAACTTTGGCCCACTTGAACTTTCAATATTTACCTACTTAGTCGCACCAATGCCTTTACTGAGGTCCCTGCATAAAACTTTCCTTTTTGTCACCAACTACTAATCCCAATGACAACATTAAGGAAAGAAGATGTTCTGACTTCATCTGCAAACAATCCTGGCACACAAAATTGCTATGGAAAAACAACAACAAACAGAAAAAGGAATATAATATGGGCTCTGCTGTGATAAAATATCAACAGAGAAAGTGAACGTTTTGAAGAAAAAGAGCACTACATGACTAGACTTTGTACTTGAGTCACGTTTGTTGAGTCATGTCTAACTTATCAGTTGCCACTAATGCAAAATAGAGAAACGTAACAGAAACTAAGGAAATACGTTATCAACACCTGTTTACATACATACATACATTAAGTATAGCCAGCTGTCTGCAATTGAAAGCAGGAAGTCGTTGGTTCGACTCCCACTCGAGCAAATCTCAGACAGCACCGAGTATGCAGTACCCATAACATTACACCATTGAAGGGGAAACCTGGAATGAAAACTGAAGAAAAAAAATGATCTGTGTCACACAATCATCAACCCAATGAAACACCCTTTGCAGCTGACTTCACATCTGAGGTCAGGTCTCTGTTGCTCTGTAACACGCATAAGTAGACGTATTGTATTGTAATTGTCAATGAATTTAAATGACAAAACCTGCCCGCAGTGAGGGCGCACCGTGCAAGGGGTATGCTGAAGAGTTTCGAATGATATTTTATTTGGCACAAGTTTGAGAGCATTACTATTAGTGATGGGAGTCAATCTGGTATATGAAATTTACCGAAAATGTCGGCGTGCTAAATTGTTTTGTTCATTTTTAAAAACAAAAATATATGGAAAATGATTGAAAGCAAAAAACAAGTTAAGTGACAGTGGAAATAAAGATGCACACCTTCCCTGTGTCTATGCTTTATATGTGTGTAAAACAAATGGTTTTGTATAAAGTTGTAAAAAAGGATCAGAAAAACAAATACATGTACGAAATCCATTCTATAAAAGTGCTGTCATGTGCTGAATTGCTTCAACCTAATCATTCATGATTGTAAAAATGTAACTTGGAATGTAAACTTGAAAAGGGCCCATGACATGTAATTGTTTTAATGCAAATCTTGAAAATGTACCTTTGTGTCCCATTGAACCTGATTTTCAATTTGCATTTTGACATTTTTAAGGGTATTTTGGTGTCTTTTTGGTTTATATTATGCTAATGCGAATTCCATATTCACGAGTAAAACGGTTATGTCATTTTAGGCAGAAACCTCAATGTTACAACTAGTTTATGCACAAAATGTTGCCAGAACTTTGGATATTTTGCTGTGGTAAACTTTCTTTTCTATAGTGATACGTTGATGTGTCAGTATTTTGGGTTCACAATTTGAAAAGAAAACACCTGAAATGAACAGTATATTTCTGAAATGACATCACAGCAACATCATGTGTCAAGAAGTGTACTTTCAATATAATTAACCAAAACTGGATGTTAATTAAATTTCATAGAACTAAGAGGAGGAGAAAGTGGCACAAAATGCATTCCTCAGAAATATCCACTTCATGGACCCTTTACAGTTTAAATTTCTTTGTACCAGAAATGATGCATTACACACAGCCTTCCATTCACGTGAGTATAGCTCACTGCATTTTTTAATATCGATTTGCTGTTCAGTTATGTTATGATTTGAGCAATACAAATACATGAAAGAGAGTATTTGCAGGAAATGAGGTCGGATTATTAAAAGGCCGGGTTACCGTCATATGCAAGGATACTTTATATGTTACATTTATTCGTTTCCTAAACTACTTCCTGCAAGTTTGAATGACGATATATTACATTAATGGGGTATTATATGTCTTTTTTTTTTCTAAAGCCGGAAAACAAAGAACGATACAAAGTTGTCAAACAATATCGGTCATAGTTTATCAATTTTATACAGTTCCAATTAACAGTTGAAAAGGAGAGTACCAGATTTTGACATTTGAAAAAGACTTGTTTCATCGAAATTCGGTCAGGATTGCAACGAATCAAATTGGGTCAGAATTGCAACGAATTAAACGAATTTCGGTCAGAATTGCAAAGAATTACACAGTTTTGCTTTAAAAAAAAATTGTGTTAAAAGAAACATCCCTCATATAACACCAGCCAAATATAAAGTGGTGGTTAGCAAAGCCAGTTTACGTTTTGAACTAAAGTACCAGTTCGGTTTATAAACGTCAATATATTTTGTTCCCGATGCAAACATTACAAAAGTACAACTGCTGTTTTATTGACAAAATTCTGAATAAAAGGTTGACGCAGTTGATATTGTAATGGATCGAGTTTTATTAAAATCTCATCAGATTTA